GTGTAAATTGTTCATTTATGACCAGATACATAACAGATAGATTTCCACATAACCCCATACATTAATTATGCGCAAAGAAACCTTTATATTTAGTCTTTATGAAATGGAATGCATAATTAATGTATGGGGTTATATGGAAATCTTTGCTAACGGATTGTTTCATTAGACCGATAACATCCAGACAACCCCTAATGTACACATCTGGCAACCATGGGTGTCTCGAAACTTCAGACCCCTTGAAAAGTGATTGAGATTTATGTTTTAACGCAGTTTCGAGGTCTGGGGTCTGAAGTTTCGAGGTCTGAAGTTTCGAGACACCCTGGAAACCATTGCCATGCGGGTATTAAATGTTAGTAACGATACTACGCACAGGGTTGAATAACTTGAACGGGCAGGTGCCCGTCTTTTCTTCCGATCAAGCTGGTTCTTGCTGGAACGTGACTTACTTTTTGTCAAGCAGACAAAGGATAATTTCGAGTGGTAAAACACTGAATGCTTTCCTTTTTTTTGCAGGGCTAATGAATAGTATTAACGGTCGTGTAGCCTGAAAAAATGTTTTAGAGGAAAGCGACTGTTACACCGATCTCGTTCACAAGTTCGCGTCTGGACGAGTCAGCGTTTGAACCTCTCCTTAAAGTACCCGATGACTAAAGTCTTTCCAAAAGGCACTTTATTCAAGCCATCATCTTCTTGCAAACAGTTTAAAACTTACCATTCCTTTACCGATGAAGTTTTTCTTAACAAGGCGCGCGAGCGAAAAGGCCCGCGGAACGACCGTGGAATCCGACTCTAGACGCCGCCATGTTGGAATTACAAGGATCCACTTCCGGTTCCTCTACTTCCCTTTCTCCGCTCATTTGACACTGAAGTTTTCAATGTTCCTCTTTTAGCATAATCTGAGTTTGGCGGTGTCCATATTTTTCAATGATCACAGTTAAGTGCACACAACACATACAATCTTTAGGCAACAGTTACAATATAACTTTCAGCCCAACTTTATGAGCGTGAAGTTTATCTGATGAGTTGGTATTTCACTTCCTGTTTAAAAGTGGGGCTGGATACAAATTTATGTAACTAACCCATACAACATGACTAAAAGCAATGTTTGGGACAAAGACAGCTTTTATTATGATTACGTTACTAATCAACTTACTTTTCACAAAATACGACTATTTAAAATATATAGGCATAGAAAGAAAATAAATATTCAAGCATGCCATAAACAGAGGCTGTCTGATGCAGAAAACTAAAACAGACAAGACAGACCACCAAAATGAACTACTAGAAGAAGTGGGAATGAATGAAAATGGCTTCCAGGTGTGCAAATGAAGTGTATCCTGCCTTAACTGAAAAAGTCTAGCAATAGTCCATTTTACAGTTGTGCTTGGTTGCCAAGCCTTTGAATAGGAGTGAGGCTAGGGTTGACCTTGTTATGATACAAACCTTGCTGCCTTTCAAATGTAAATCACTTTGTTATCATGCTAAGTAGATACAGGTATCTATCACAACAAGGTCACCTTCAGCTTACTCTGAATCAAAGGCTTGGCAACTAAGTACACAACTTTAAAATGGTCTATTGAGCAACTGAACTCAAATCCTTAAGCAATCTCTTAAGTACCTAGCTTGAATGTCCTTTTGATAGCACAACGAAAACCAACTAACAGCTCACACAATAGTCTCCTGATGTTGAATTTCTTGCACTAAGTGAGCAAGCATTAGAACAAGCATGATGCATGACAGCCTCTGTATCAGTTCCCATGTTTGTAATTAAGAAGCACATCACCTATTTGTTCCAAGCAACTACAACTAAACAATCCCATTTAATTTCTAAAATAAGGAAGCACACTCAAACATAAAGCTGAATACAAGAGCTAGGAATCAACACTGCTGGCATCCTTTCCAAGAACTTGGCATGTCTATTCAACACAAGAAATATCAAATTTGTGGATGTATGACAACTGGGCGGCAAAGTTCTCATGCAATCAAATCTGTCTTCAGCAATTAAGCATGGCTCATGTAAAAACAAAGTAAGTGAACTGACTCAGGGTTGCATGGCCCACTCCATGTGCAGTAAATTATACTGGAAAAAACTCAGCCTTTAGCTACAACACATTCTACTATTACAAAACATAGTAAAAAACAAATGAGTTCATTATCAAAAAAAACAAAAAACAAAATTCTGTTCCATAAAACATTTTAACTAACATCACCTTAAAAGTTACTTTCCTTCATCATTCTTAATAATATAAATGTCTACCATCTTTCTTCTAATTACTAACATCATTATCGGTTGGCAATTCTCAAAATTTTTTTTTTTCAGCCAACTGTTTCTCACTTTGAGCCAAAATATTGTGGTCATTTGCTCTGACAAAGAACCAATGCTCTAGAAAATCCTTACAGGGGCTAATTTACACTTTCATCTCAGTTGATAGAACCAAACTACAATATATTGTTTTCAACCATTTTTAAGTGGCTGAACACAGTTTTTGATACCTTTGTTTCTTTCACCATTTTCTCTAAAACCCTTGATCTCTCGGTCACCAAAACTGGCCGCAAGCAAGTTAACAACACAAACTTTGTTTTTTTGATAGTTAAGCTGACGTATGTGCCATTGCCATGGCGACAAGAATAAATATAAACAGGCAAATAAAATCAGTTTTGTTTCTTTGTAGAAAATCTAGTTATTAGATTTTCTTTATAATTTGCATGCAACGAGCTTGTAACGATACTCACAAGTTAACACCATTTTGCTAACAATTTAACAGAGAGATCTTTAATTATCCCTTGTTGAAGGTTCACTCGATTTTTTACAATTTCCTTTGTTTGAAATCAATGTTTTTCAATACTCAAGTTACTTATTTCCTAAAGTATTTTCGTGCCAAATTTCGTGAAATTCTAATGAGTGGTTCTCAAGAAATATAGGCAAATTTCTGAGAAAGCAATTTTCCATTCAATTGCAATTTTTTTACTTACTACGCATGCGCTGCATTTAAATGGATTCTTTCGGTAATGACAAAAAAGCTGAGAATTGCTGGTTACTTTGCACCATTAACTTTTCTAACATATCTTTGTAATAACAGATTAAAGTCCTCAATACACTGCATCAACTATAGGGAAAAATAGCACAGATAGTGCGAGTACGTGTTGAGTAAATAAAATGACCGCTCTATTGATGGCATGTTTGTTTTTCACAATCCTTGTGCACGCGCCACCAGCAAAAGCGCATGCGAAAACTGTGTTCAGTCACCTTAAGTATCCAAAAATTATCCTTAATTCTTTACCCTTTTATCACTTGAGTGCAATTTACTACCCTTTAAATCTGTTGTTTCCTGGACTGATACTTCCTCTTATCAAAGTCAGCAGAATTTGCTTAATAACTAATTGACAGTTTACTACACAGCCTTAAATAGATATTGTTATGTGACTTCCCCTACATGCAGTACATAATCTCAAGTAAAGGGACCTCCTTGACATTAGTGACAGATGTGTTCATCAAATCATCAGATTACACTAAGCTCCACTAAAAATAAACATCATGTCCCACTGTTGCATGTGACATATTGTATTCAGAGCCAGGGAACTCTGATCAGGATCTATTCTGCAGCCAGCCTCAGCTTTGCAGCTATTTCACACTCACGAGTATCACTCACCAACAGGGCGGAGGTTGACTAACTAATCATTTACTGTGCTATTGTGCTATACTCTAAGCTGTTGGAAACAAAAAACACATAGCTCAGCTTTATGGCAGCTAGTTCATGGCAAAATGCTGCTACATTTATGCACCAGTATAAGTAACTGAAACCTCTTTCCCCCCACCCCCACCCTACTTCACCCTCCACCCCACTCTGGGATATAGGTGGGGATTGGTTCCAAAAAGCAAACAAAACCTGACAGGTGCCACCATGTCGGGAAGTTTTTCAGAAAATATGGGTTAAATAAAATAATTGGCTAACACCACGAAGCAGTTGAATTCACAATTAATGTCAGTTTGCTGCAGTTTTCAAAATGATAACTTTGTGGGCAGTTACACTTTATTCAATATTTGGTGCAGATTAAAATACCTTACAGCACTATTCTACCCAGAAATCCTGCCATCTAAAAGTCCTCACAAATCTGTGAGGTAGAGAAACCCCAATCTTGTATATTCAATTGAATCCTAATTGCAACCAATGCCTCACATTTTCCCAGACTGGTGACAAAATGCATCACTCCCCACTATCTTGGGACACAAAGGGCTGCCAAAAATGCACAAAATCCTTACCAAGGCCCCACATATCCCAGGGTATTAGGGAGAGGAGGGGGGCAGGTTTACTTTGACTAATGCATAGATCTACATTTGACAGCCTTACAGCTGTTTGAGTAATCATTATTTAGCACAACTCCTCAAAAGACTCCATTACATGTCAGCAACATCTTCAGTCAGGTACTGGAGGTGGGCATGGAGTGGACTTTGGCCCTGTTGCCCCTGAGCATGCTCCTAATGGAAAGTAAGGCTGTGAACAGGTTGCACCTCCTGTGGCACCCATACTGCAGTTAATGAGAAAAAGAATCACTTCAGTGGATAGATGTTTATCATTATACAACATTAATTTATTCGCCAAAAAATGATGGACAATTATCAATGAGGGGTTCAAGTTCACAATTCAAATGTAGACACAGGGAATGAGTGTCCCATCCTTTGTTTCTTCAATTTTTTTTACTGCAGCTGTAGATGAAAAAATAGCTTTAATTGGTAACAAGTATTAGTAGACTGAGGTGGTTCTCAACTTTTTCTTAACTGGTTTGTGCCTTATTTTAAAGAAATGACCAATGTGACAAATCCTTTTTCCTGGCAAAACATCATAGCTCTGGTACTTTCATTGTTATATGAATAATAAAAAATTCTTTTGATCTAGATTTCTGATGCATGAAAAGACTCAAATGCCTTTGAAAAGGGAAAAACCTTTAGTATAATTATTATTTCTTCAAAACTGAGTGTGAGCCAGCAAAAGTCTTAATTATCCTTTGTCCAAAAAAAAGGGAAAAAAAATGAGGTGGGTAGTTTGCTCTAAGCTTTTCAGTTGTGATTATGCTGATGTTCAAAAAGGTTCAGTTTAACTACAAAGTTACGTTCAAAGGCTCCAACCGCAGGAGTCCTTAAGGGGAGGGGTGAATTGGGGTATACAGATCTACACATCTACTGTCAGTTAATAACCAAAATCTGTACATCAATTTAAAAAAATGCTAAATCTGAATCCATTTCCTTCTTGACAAATAGGAATTTGTGTAAAATGTAACTTGAGCTTTTGTGTGTAAGCTAAACAATTAAAAAAAA